GGACCTTGTGGGTCATCTCGTGCAGAAGCTCGAGAGCCCTGTCGGGCCGAGCCGCCACCTCGTTGGCCTGGATGAGGGCACTGTAGCTGATGAGGTCGGGCTTGAGGCGGCCCACGGTGGTGATCTTGGCGAACCAGTGCTCGGCTTTGTCCACTCGTCCTGCCTCTGCAAAACCGCTGATGAGGCGCTGAAGCAGTAAAGGTGTCGGGCACCACGCCCAGCTGGGCCATCTGGGCAAAGTGGCGCTCGGCGTCGTCGACCCGGCCCGCAGTGCCCAGCGCGGCGATGAGCGCGCTGAAGCAGTGGGCGTTGGGCACCACGCCCAGCTGGGTCATCTGGGCAAAGTGGCGCTCGGCGTCGTCGACCCGGCCCGCAGTGCCCAGCGCGGCGATGAGCGCACTGAAGCAGTGGGTGTCGGGTGTGAGTCCGCTGCGCTCGATCTCGGCGAAGTAGTGGAGCGCTTTGTCCGGTTGGCGAGCCTTGCCCAGCACCTGGAGCAGGCCGCTGAACACAAACAGATCGGGCGTCTGCGCCAACCACCACAGCACCACCACAGCACAGACAAGGACGTCACCGGTTTGGGAGGGGCGCGCATGGTGGGCTGTTCTTTCTTCTTTCACCACCGAAGAAGAGGTGGAGAGGGGTGGTGTGGGGTACGTGGCCGTGGCGAGGCATGAGCTCGACCAGCTCGACGGCCGTCTCCCACTGTCGCGCCAAAAGAGGCAGCACGGCGCTCACAGCAGAGCGGTCGAATTGGCGCGTGCGCTTGAGCGTGGCCACCAGCGCATCGACCTCGCCAATCGCGCCTGGTGGTGGCGTGGCGTGGCGTGGCGGCCGGTCAGCTCGTGCGCCTGGAACCCAAGGGCTCAACCTTAAAATAAGGTTAAGGGGGGGGGGAAGCGGAACCGGAGCGCTTGATGCGCTGGACCGTCTGCTGCACGTCGCTCGGCGAAGGCTGCTTTCTCTGCTGCGGGCTCGCCGCGCTGGTGCCGGTGGCGGTAGTGTTGGGAGGCCGCCTGCCGCGGTTGTCGCTCTGAGTCGGAGGCGAGCTTCGGCGGCGGTTTTTGGTGGTGTTGCGGCGCTGCTGCTGCTGCCGGCGAGGGCGGTGGTCTGGCCGCAGGTGCGCGAGTGGTGGTGGAAAACAAGGCCTCGAAGGGCTGCAGCCGGACTCGCGGCCTCTGGTGGTGGTGGGGGCCGAGAAGTGTGAGCCGCGAGCAGCAACGCGACGCTGGCATCGCGAGCGAAGAAGACAAAGAAGAAGAAGAAGAAATGGAGGCAGCGCCCCCGATTCGCTGCAGCAGTGCAGGCATCGTCACCCGCCTCATCGTTTGCCAAGCTGCCCCTCTTCGCCAGTCGCTTTAAAAAAATAGATTACCGCCGGCAGTAATGATTACCACTCCGGTTATGTTTATTCTTTTCTTCTTTATTTCTTGTCCTTCGTAACAGGGTAACAAAAGAATAAAAGATTAAACACGTCCTCGTATGTCAGTCTTCTTTTTCTGTTCCTGCTGTATCATCCATTGTGCAGAATCGCCATGTGATTCAGCTGAGGTCATGAAGGGCCTTAGTGCCACCACCAATTAGCTTGACAATGTCTCTGCATAGTCCTCTTGCCTTCTTGGAGAGGATTCCCACCAAGTGGTTTGCCAAGTGCCACAACTGAGCAGTCCCTTTGCACCCCCATGATGATGCCTGGTTGTCCATCCTCACCAGCAGCCCTGTGCATGCCACCACTGTTGCCACATCTCCATGCAACCACCTCTTCCAAATCCACCAATGACCTCTCCACTGACAGTACATGTACACAATAGAATGTCCTGTGTTTCAAAGCATAATGGGCTTTGATAATAGCATGTATGCAATGGGGCAGTTACCTCCTTGAAGGAGCTTCAACAGTTCCTTGAAGTTAAAATTCCACTCCATTCCACACTGATAAAATCACTTTTAACTCCACAAATTCCAAGTTTTTTATGAAATCATTTTCATCTCAAGACCCTCAATATCACTTATAAGCAGCGGTCTAGCGTGCAGATCAACGTTGTGAATGGACAATTCTATTGTGTGGTGTTGTGTGTGTTGGGTTGAGGCAGGCTCCAGTTTTTGCTATGTACGTTTTATTTCAGCGCTTGATGGTGGAAGGATGCCAACAAGGAGAAAGACAACCATGCATCTCCGATCGGTCAGCGGAGGGCGAAGCCAACGAGGCCAAGGTCCAGCGCCTTGAGCAGGCCTGCCCGCATCTTCTCCTTCGACGAATACACCGGGAAGTCCACCCGGTTGAAGCTGCAGAGAGAAGGCCACACGACCACCATCATCAGCAACCCAAGGGTGTTCCAGTGCAACACTTGAGAAAAAGAAGATGGCCGGCACTGTACCATGTGTGCCCATAGGGGAAGCTATCCTT